TGAGGCCCACCCGGTGGGGTTCCGGATCCAACAAGGGCTACTTGCCTGCCATGGCCGAGCAATCATCACGCCCAATTCCACTGCGTTTAATGAAAGTTCAGCAGGTTACGGCCTGGGCGCCGCCCATCAAGCAACTAGCTCACAAGTGGGCACTTAACAAGGATAATTGCCGTTAATTGTCATAAATGGCTATATCATATAAACACTGCCACTCCCTGTGTATACATAACCGTTTCTGCTATTGTCTCTGAAGATGGATCTGCGACGGATTTCGAAACGTCAGACGAATTACTATTATTATTATCTCATCTACTTCTCAAATAAATACTGGGACTTGAATGTTCGCTTGTATTGATCATTCTCCAAAAAGTCGAGGCATCGAACTTCCATTCCCATTCGATTAAGTGCAACTTCCATTCCCATTCGATTAAGTGCATTCAACACATTTACAACGGTGAGCCAACCAGGCTTTCCGAAACGGCAGTATTTCGATAAACCTGTTCGATAAGCGGCTACAGATTGGCGATCCGGATAAAATGCGAACTGAATTCAGTCGTAATAGATCACGATTCGAAGGAGGACGTGGACATTTGTTTGGACTCGCTGGAAATAAGTAGCTAGTATCTTCTTGAACTCATTATAGTGGGCGGGCACGTAGCCGAGTAGCATCATGAAATTCATGTGCCGATAATTATCGGACCACAGGAAGTTTCTATAGTGAAGTTGCATGGTATATTTTAGCTAATGCCCGTATATCCTCTTTTACGGGCATCTGGTATAAAGCGGTGGAAAGCGAAACCGGGAACTGAGTGTTGTACTGCTAAATTAAGATGTTCGGTTTGCCGCGGAAAACTTTGATCTTCCCTGCTAACCAGTTATCCTCAGTTGAATGTTTATTTTACCACCGACCAATCCAAAAGGCGATTTGCATGACTTAACCCAAAATGTCCTCAGTTAGCATGACATGAGGGGACACAGCAGAATAAACGCGCGAAAGGTAGTAAAGTTCGGCTTTTCGCAGAAAACTTTGTTCTTCAATGATATTCTTTTACAAGTTGAGTGCCGAAAGATAGAGTGCTGGACTGCTCCCCGAAGCTTAGAATACAATTTCGAAAAGCAAACAGATAACCTACAGAGCTCAACGTATCCTTTTCGGATAGATTACACTATGGCATCGCACAACTAGTCTTGAAAAAAACTAACTCGGAGTTTATCCGGGTGAAGAACTCACTTAAAATCTTTAACCTGGGAGACGTGACTAGGAAAAGTACGAAAAAGAGCAGAAAACTTAAGTACCCGACTAAAAAACTTGATTTTATGAAAGGTTAGTGTTACAAATATTTCCAATAAAGTCTGGCAAAGTCTTAAGAACAATCTACTGTGCAAGTCCTTAGTGTTTTAAATCAAAGTAATAGGTCTGCTTATTTCATTCATACAGGCAGGCATGTTATATTGGGGTTACGTTTCTGGTTAAAGTTAAGTTAAATTTAGTAATAGGCTTAAGTTTGCGTGCCGCAGCACGTGTTTCATTACCCAACGTTCTTTCCTGTTTCCGCCTGTTGGCACGCCCCTAATTTGCATATTGCATATTACTTGGCTGTTCCAACACGCATTGGCGTAACAAAGCCAACTTTTTTTTGAAATGCGAATATTCTCAATGGGTAAAGAGGCAGGCTTTCCGAGCAGCGGACCAGTTTGTTTCTAGTCCTTAGCTCTCAAACTCTTACAGGCGTTCATTTTCAGAGGTAAGAACATCATCAAAAAGAGGGGGGGGGCGGGTATCACATTGGGTTGAGTTAATAAGGAAGACATTTGCTGCTGCGATCTTCAGGTCCGGTCAGTTATGAAAAAAGAAGAAGCAAGCCGCCAGCTGGAAGGAATGGTTTTTTCTGTACAGAAGAATTGAAGAATAGGCAGGAGGAAGTTGACTGTCGGAAGAACATAAATCTGCATTCGAGCGAGTCAGT